TATCTGAGGCACAGTGGTCTCCCTTGGGCAAAGGCTCTCCCTCATAATGACCGCTACCCCCCCGCCCCTACCCCGGGTCCTCGGCTGGTGAAATGCCTGGAAACCTGGTGGGCAGATGTCTACGAGAGGGACTCCTCCCTCGACGCCCAACCAGGTCTCGGTAATACCCGCCAGGTCCGCACCCCCCTCCAAAATAAGAGATGCTTACTTTAAATTCCTTCTGGATGCTGATCACATCTTTGTAACTGATTAATAATACATCTCAGCTCAAACTCTTTGTGTATCCAAAAATCCATGGCAACAAAGTTAACATGGATTTTACCATAGTTATGATGCATAATTATATTTAACCAAGAATAATTATTCCATCTGTGTATAGAAAAGTTATAGAAATATTACAACCTAGAGATAGGTAAATGGCAGCCTTTGAGGAGTGAGGCACAAAGTCCTTCAAATTCAAAACATTTCAAATGTACAGTACTGTTCAAAACACCCTGCTCCACATTTGAAACATTTATAATGTTATTCTGACTGCTCTGGGAAAGTTTCAAGCTCCAAATAGCAATAATTCAAGCTGGAAACACCTGTTTTTAATAGAAAACAGGTGCTTCAAACTAAAAGCATTTCTGGAATGACTGGAAGATTTCCAGTAACAGACAACCCATCCTGAACCTGCAACAATTGTGATGTTGAACCACTTCATGCTCAGGAAAAAAAACCCATAGCATTTTGCATACATTCCTGTGTCCCTCTTTTGTGGCACTCACAGAGATTCTTTCTGACCCTCAAGAGCTGAAAATGAAAGCGGTCCCTTGCCATGTGGACATAGAAAATAGATGAAAACTGTATTGCAAGTCCTAAAATAGACATATCACATTTAAAATAAATCTTTCCCTAAAAGCCTTGAACTAGAAAGCAATTTGGGGGGCTCATCCACATTATAGCACTTATGAGGCCCACCCTCATTGCAATTTTTATCCAGGCTACCCTAATGGGCAGGCTAGCTAACAAGCAGGTAGCCAACAGGTAGGAATATGGACTTGCTGCACCCACATTTAGCACAAATATATTCATGCCTTACTCAACAGGGTGCTAGAATTCCCAGAAAGCCTATAGACAACAGTGAAGTCTTCTGGATGTTACCATTTAAGGAGAACCTGGAAGGACACTAGGTGCCTCCTTTCCAGTGGAAATTATGTGAATCCTTTTCTAAACAATACCTAAACATTGCGCAGTGGAAACTATCAAGGATTTCAAGATAATGCAACTTAGAAAGCCCTAAAATAATACTAATTGTTTTTTTTTAAAGTTGGATTAATTAATTTCAAGAGGTCTTCAGCTAGATTGGGACTGTCTCACTACCTTCCTCTTTGGCTTTTATTCAGCAAAGTCTGCTTTTTGATGTTTTAATCCTATAGAAATGGAATGATAAAAGTTTGGCAAGTCATGATATACAGCTCAAGAGGAGCATAAGATGGTTATTTTGAGGTAAGTTTTGGGATCCATTTATTTATTAAGCACTCCCAGCAAACATTTTCCTGGTCTTTATATTTCTATTTTCTAGCTGTTTTTTTAAATTCTTTCTAGAAGCACCTCATACTGATACTGGTACCTATCCACACAGACATATGTAGGATTGGCAGAATAAACTTTGACAGAGAAAAACAAACAAACAAATGCTGGCATGTATATCCAAAACACATGAAAGCTAAGTGTAAAACAACATGTTGCAGAATGGAATTTGAATACTCAGAGTTCCAGCCATTCTTTTTAATGTCTTCCACTTTTTTCAAGTTTTATCCCTTGTTAACTTCCATAACGCAATTGGCAAGCCCAATTCCCAAAAATTGTTCCACACTATTTCTGATTTTCCCATCCTGCTAAATAGTTATTTGAACTTCTGCAAAATTTGGCATTCCTACAATACAGGCAGTCCTTGATTTATGACCCTAATTGCTGAATGAGACATTTATTAA